TGGTTTGAAATATGAAATTAAGGTTTATGAAGACAGAGTGCTATAGCTTTAGCAAAAAATCCAGTGTACAGACAAAGATGTAAACATGTGGACATTAAATACCATTTTGTAAGATCGATGTTGAATGATGGAGAAATCAGTCTGGAATATTGTCCCACTGAAAACATGTTTGCGGATATTTTAACAAAACCAGCAACAAAGTTTAAATTAATGAAGTTTAACATATTTATGTTTGGTGTATGAATTATGTGGTTAAGAAGAAGGGTAACAAATGTGAGAGCAAGTGGGGGTGTTGACATTTTAATGTATGATGTGCTCTCTTATTGTGTTTGTATTTATATTGTATATTGTATTGATTTGTATGTGATTTGAGAGATGTAGTGATCATGTGACCTAATTAGGATTTGAATGATTGCACCTGAGTGTTTTTAGTATTGGTTAATAAAAGGTAGTGCGTCAGCACAAATTGGTGTGAAACGCTAAAGAAAGACGACGTTGTTATCGTGTGATGTTTGGTATACTCTGCTAACAACCTCTCTAAAACAGTATCAGCAACAACTAAACATAATCACTTTCATGAAGGTAGAATTTAATGCACGAGTGTTGTATTAGACTATTAGTTTCAGTATATTAAATTATCAACAGTGTTTTACACAGCACAATATAAGCAAATCAAAGGCAACTAAAAACAGGGCAAAGCAGCACTGGAGAGAATCAGGAACAGCAGTAGAGACTAAACAACCAGGAAATCAGGATCAATCGAATTTTACTCTCATAATTAATCCCACAATGGGGGAGATCTAGTAATTCAATTTACAGTATAATTCCACCACATATATCATTTGGTGGGATGGAAAACTACAATATAATAAATGCCTATTAAAAAAACACTATCACGTACCTTACTTGATTAATCTAGGTCATTTCCCGTTAATGTTGTAAGTTACACTCTACAACAAATCATTTCTCGGTTCAGTTAGCGTTATATATCTATCCCATACTTTTGTATTATTAAAATTATAGTGAGCCAAATTACACATACACAGCAGAGCTTTAAAACTAGGATGCTGCTGTGATATTCTGCAGATTTCTTCAGGTCCCCTTTCAAGTGTTTTACTCCACCCACCTTGGCTGCGGTCTGCGGACTAGCCCGTCCTCTTTCCTGTTAGCCAGAATGCTAGGTAGCTAGCGTTAGGAGGCTAACATAAAAGCGCTGGTATACCACCGTTGAATATTTCTGTCCTTCCTTCCAAAGTACAAACTTCCACTCCAGCGTTGGTTAACTAAGGCACCGATATGACTGTCTTATCCAAACTTTCATATCATTTTAGGTCCGTATATTTACTGGTCAATTCACCAGATGCTATGCTAACCTTGCACCATACACACTTTTCAAGACAAGCTAGTCTGATGAGCTATATATATATGCTTCGGCTTCGTTACAGAGCAGGCGCAGAGTAGGTGGGAAATACGGCATGGGTGCCTTGCACAATGTGTGTTTCAGTTGTGTTCTTCATTGTCCGGTAAAAGCTTCCGACTGGTAAGGAAAATAGAAAAACACAGCTCCGTGCTGTTGGGACAGTCTGTAAGACATATCGAACGCACAATTTTGCTCCAAAAGTGGGGGTTGTAGTTCTTTGGCTTTTTTTACTCTCTGTATTGTGATAGCCGCCCAGTAAGATTACTTCAACAGTTTACCATAGATATTTTTCTCCTGAACCAGCCAATCATGAGCTGTGAAGGCAGTCCTCTTTTGAGTGCCACCCAATGGGCAAGCAGATTTTGGGGAGGCGGAGCCAATCATTCTCAGGAGGCGGGGAGAGGGTCACAGAAAGAGCTAGGCTAGATGAGGTGCTCAACAAGACAAACAGCAGATCTCTGCGAAAGGGACTTTTAGCTCTCCGCATCCAACATCAATTGGGATTCAACGGACGACGTTAAAATCTGTCAGTTTTCCCCACATAAATGTTCCTATGGATTACTGATTCACTTTCATCGAAAAACACAAGTGTTTCTCAGCTTGACAGCATAGGTAAGGCTGCTTTTGATCGCCAAAGCCATTGCTATTTTGAACATTTTACTAGCTTGCTTCCCTGCTTGCTACCAAGTCAACCTTGACGTTAGCTAACTTGTTAACTAAGGCGATGATGTGTTTATGGCGGGTTTAGGGAATGAATGAGTTAGACGACTGCACAGCAAAAGGCTGTCCGCTGTGAATACAGAAACAACTTGGTTATCTCGATAACAAAGTTATGCTGGAGCCAGCCAAATTAAGCTGATGAGCACAGTGAGAGGTTATGCTACTAGGGGGTTGAATAGTGTCAAGCCTGCTGGACAAGCACCGGAGTGTTGTGTTGCTGAGCGGAGGAATCCTCGGAGGGGTTGTCGTCGAGCAGCGCCTGTCATGGTGTTCCCTAATAGCCTTCAAAAGTGATATTATACGAAACCACTGGTGACCTGTATAAACTTGGCGTCGCTGCAGGATATGTTTTCTTGGCTACCGAGTAAGCGGTGTAGTTTAACAGGTACATTGCATTGTCAGGCTTTTCTTTTGTGTCGCCAGTATCGTTAGCTTCTCACGACTGACTTGTCCAGGGTAGCTACGACTAGATGGGCTACCTTGGTATCAAGGCGCTCACCCGCTGGATCAGTTGTGGCATTATAACCAGAAGCGAGCTGGGTTGTCTCCCTTCTGCTAGAAGAGGGCTAGTGTTATTGTCAGTGTTGTGTGTGCGTGACTAGTGTTTTTTGTGCACATTTCCGTAACTGGTAACATCAACCCCTGACAAACTGACTAGGCAGGAATAATTACTGAAGAGGTTTAGATGGGCTCGACGCTTTAGTTAACCACGGTTATCGGGGTTTAACACGGAGGAAAATACGGTCTAGACTCGGGTGGTGTGCTCCTTATTATTGGTCGTGGTCGTGGTCGGTCAGTCCCTTACTCGCAGCGGCTGGTCTAGCAAATTATTTGGGGCGGATGACATTGTATTCTCCGCGATCATTCACCGCGATTAAGAGCCACAGAAGAGAGCTGCGACCTTGTCCTCTGTTATTACAATAAAATGTTGTAGGTGTTAATGCGATGTTACTGTGTTACAAGTCTTCCTCGAGCTTGACCTTGTTGCGAACCGTTTCGTCGAGTTGTTTCTTTGTCAGAAGCGACGTTACTCCGTGAACAGTCAGCGAAATGCCAGACCAGTCGATAACCAAAACATTTTAGTGAAGAAAGAAAGTGACTTTGTATAGGGCTGCGGGACCGATTCTCACTTTGTTCAACTTAACGGGGTTATTGCGACACAGCTTGAACATGACATTTCTGTAAAGGTCTGCTTTAGTGGCTGGCTCGCCTGTCCACAAGCAGTGTTGTTATCTCTATTTTTGCTGTCGAGTGTACTCTCCGCAGAGAGCCGCGCACCGAGACAAGGGAGAGAAGCAAAAATCGAAAATGAACAATCTCGGGGCAGTTTCCCTGTAAAAAAGAGAGAGGGAGATTCGTCACCGAGAGAGAAATGGCTCTGAGAGGGGCAGGTGATTTTCGACCACCGTTACCGCAGTTTTCCAGTGTTTGTACGCTGGAGTGTTCTCCTTTTTAGCCGACTGTCAGCTACAGAAATGGCGTCATACTCTGCTGTAGTGTTGCTATAGTCGGTGCAGCGCAGACAGCGGGCACACCACGCCGCCGTAGCTACTCGAAGAACCGAGCGCCTTTTTACCATACATCACTTCATACTATACTGTACATTTTCCGCGCATTGCATTTGTGATGGACCGAGAGAGGAAGTCGTCTGTTTGTCCAGCGACTAGTTTGTGTTTGCTGGCCCTTCGTAGCCACAAGCCCAGCCTGACTGCTGACTGACTGGCTACAGCACACTGGGCATTACATAAACGGCTTTAAGGGCTCTGCGAATGAGAGTGAGCAGCCCGTCACGGTTTACTTTGCTACACGGATATTTTTCTGGAATGTGGCTCGAAAGCTCAAGCATTAGTTAGGCTTATTTATGCGAAGGCTCTTTAAACTTTTCTTAAATCAATTGCAACTTCAATTCGGAGTGGAACCCGCAGTCACTATAAGGATATTTCATGTGCAGACGATGTTTTTCCAAGCAGTGTAAAGTGTGTCTGCCCTGCCGCCCAGCTTCTTCATTGCATCCAGCAGTGTAGCAGAAGAAGTGATGTCATCTTAACATATTGTCTTGTTGTAGCAGACCGAAGTTGGCACTATAATGTCTAACAGCTCCCCCGACCTCTGTTTTTACCCTTAGATTCGGTACACTGGTCACCTAGAGGACTCATAGAGAGATGAAGGTATGTCCATTCATTTTTCTTTGCATGTGTTTTAATGGCACGGTACACAGGGTTGCTGGATTACTACTTCTGCGTAGTAGAAGTAGTAATCTTGTGTTAGCCAGGCAAACATAATTTGTCAATGTTTTAAATGCAGGGTTTCATCTGTTTGTTCTCATGAATAAGGCTGGTGTGAACTTTTACTAAATGTCAAATTTTGTCCTGTTCAAACATAGCAAGGCAAGTGTCTTGGACATAGGTCAAGGTAATAAATTAATTTGATAAACATGGCTGTGAGTTTCTATTGGCTTCAGCTGTACTTCACAATGCAATTTGGGAGCTCATATTGTTGCTATTTTGGTGCGGTGTTATCGAGTTATACACAGAGATAAGAGCTGGATGGGTTTTGATATGTATGAATTTCATTTTAAAAACAGTTTTTTTTAGACTATAATCAATCTAAGTTTACATAATAAAAGAATAAATCAAGCTGTAAAATTCCAAAAGTCTTTGAAAGCTCTGGCATTGCTTTCTCCAGTCCCATTCAAGTTGGAAAAAGTCACAACTGTTATTGTTTGGGAAATAGGCTGTGAAGAAAGGTTTTTAATATTTTCCTATAGTTTTAATGAATCACAGTTGTCTGTTGTTATGCCTGCAGGCTGTTGTGCCTTGTCATTTGTTGCAATGTGAGCCATATGTACAGTCAAAACATGGGTGGTTTGACTTCTACATTAATTTGGGTGACAGACGGAAACTGAGACAAGAGAGTCTGTATTTTTAATTACTAGTTTTAGTTTATTGGCACATGCAGTGTAAGATGGGTGCATGAGAATACAAGCTGCCCTGGTAATGATTTGTAGCCTCTTGCTTTGCCTCTAATGGTGTTATGCTTATTGTGGTTAACTAACTATACAACTGCCCAATAAGTAGCAGTCTACTTTTTTATTCAATTAAATGATGCACCCCAAAAATGTGCTAACAACCAGGTAAGAGTTGAGGACACCATTTTGATCTGGTTCAAACTTTATTCCTTCTCTAGTTCAGAACCATTTTTGTTGGCTGCATTCATGCTTGTCATAGTAATAATACTACTGCAGGATGATTTGTGATTGTACAATGAATTCTAATTAATATTATAGGAAGGCAATGGAATTCTCATTGCCATGGCTAGAAATGCATTTCAGGGGACAGAGCATCTAGGCACAGATGATACAGAAACACATGGGACCAACAAATACTACCTTGTTCAAACCTTAGGCTAGCTTTGCTGCCTAATGTCCTACATGTGTCTACTTGAATAAAGCATATTATGTGAAAATTCATTAAACAGTTGCTGTTAGTGCCATGACCATTTTGAAGTTGTTATTCTCCCCAGCTGGAGAGCAGTAGGCATATTGTACTTGTACTTTCTTATCCACATAACTGCTGACAGGAGTGATGTTTTCCCATTGACATTTCTGTTTTAATGTTGTAGCTTTTCTTGTTTTCATACAACTGGCTCTGTTGATGCTTGAGAAGTGCTCACATATTTCACTGCGCTGTATAGAAGCATCTGCTCAGTGTCTAAACTGTAAATTGCTCTGTAACTAGAACAACTTTTCATTATGTTCACTTAGCATTTCATGTCACTTTGGCTTATGGTCCACAGCCTTTCTTCATTAACTGCACACACTGCTTTGACACAGTGTGCTGCATAGAACTCCTTAAGCGTTAGACATCCTTAAAGTGGACTGTCGTGTTGGGCAATAGTTTGAACTTTTTAAGCTAATTCATCTTTTAAGTTAAAATGAAAATATATGCCTGTGCTTAAACTGTAATAATCAAAGTCCAAATGTAATCTGGCTTTTGTACTTTGTCTATGACCTTGGTAACCTACACAAGATTTAATGAAAGCATCTCAAGTATTAATGCCAGCAGTCCAAGCCCATACTAAAATATTTTACCATTTCAGAGTGAAGTACAGTCTGGTGGTGTCCACTTCATCCATTCATTCATAACATAATGGTTTAGTTTACATGCATGCAAGTATATGATAAGACAATGGCACTTCTAATAAATGCCCAAAATATAACTTCCCATTACAACAACTCACAATATACAGACGGGTGCCGAATTAAAGGAAGAAAAAAAAAACAGAATAAATGAGTGGTCTCTTCCAGGATGACAGTGTCCCCGTCCATAGTACACGAGGGGTCACTGAATGTTTTGATGAATATGAAAATAATATGAATATGCTGTAACCTTCACAGTCACCAGATCTCAGCCCAGATGAACACTTATGGGAGATTTTGGACCAACGTGTTAAACAGCATCTCCACTACCATTATCAAAACACAAACTGAGGGAATATCTTTTTGAAGAATGGTGTTCATCCCTCCAGTAGGGTCCAGAGACTTGGAGAGTCAATGCCAAGGAGAACTGAAGCTGTTCTCATGGCACATGGTGGCTCAGCACCTTATGGAGACACTTAATGCTGATTTGTCCTTTCATTTGTCACCCATCTGTATTTGTCCTGTTTGTCTGACAGCTTTATGGAAGTGCATTGTTATTAAATAGAAAAAAACTGAGAGGTTTTGATTGACGCCGGTCTGTAGAAAAATTGCCATGCTGCAGTAATGAAAAATATTTAGTCAAGTCAGACTTTCTTTCAGAGTAACAGTATGTGAGGCTGTGGTAATATGGTGCATACTTGCAGTGTCCCTGCCTGGGAGCCACATGCTTTGTTAAAATACAATTTGTAGCACTTAAGATGAATGGTGTCTGTTTGGTATTATCAACTGTTGGTATGTGACTAAGGTTACACGTAGAAATGTAAAATAAATGCTTTAAGTTAGGAGAAACCTTTTCTATTGTGTATATCTGTTGTTTGAATTAAAGGTATTTCACTGATGTTGAAGCCATCAAAAGTAACACACAAGTGTTTGGATGTTAATAAAAAGTAATGAGGGCAAACTGTAAGTGAGTGTGACCACTCATTCAGACGGTGTAAACACCCATATACCACATGTTTGGTAAATGGTCAGGGTACAAGGTTTTTATAAACCCAGAGGCATCAGTGATTGATGATAACATATCTAAAAGTTTTCCTCTACCTAATTAAAGATGTTAAAATTCTATAACTGAAAAGTATTGTGCTTGGTCTGAGTTGCTGGTGCAGGAGGAGTGGATTTGTGTGTAAACAAAAGGTGTTAAGATTATGTTTTTCTGGTTTAAAGCTGCCATGACATTGTCAAGGCAACTTCTGCTGAAGCACTGGTCACTGGAATTGTGGTGACTCTGGTTTGGACAAAGAGGTGATTCACAACAAGATTATTGTATGTGTGAGCTAGGCTGCGAGGGAGCTTAATTCTTTCCTGCACGCCTCTTACATGTTCCTTTTGTTTGGTTTACAAGCCTATTCATTGTAGTTCAGTATAATGGGTCAAAAACTATTGTTTATAATGTTTCAGTAATGCTGCTTAGTGTCTGCATGGTCTGTTTCAAAATGTGCAGATCTATATGCTTGTAAAGACATCTATACAAAAATGCACACAGTGAAAGTAATTGATTTGTTACACAGGAATCTAGTACACTTGATTTGACTTAGACATTTAACTGTTATGTCATCCTGTTTCAACTGCCCTAACCTGGTAGGACTGAATAAACACCAGTATATGTACCTAATAACATCTAGCTTTTTTATGGACCTTCAAACATGCCAACATGCAATAGTAACACATCCTAACAACAGTATGTGTAATTTTAGCTTTAAGAGGTGCACAGTCTAGATTAAATTCTAGGCAGTGACAATGGTAGTGACCTGAAAAAAGAATTTCTCTAAAACTAAACTGCAGAGAGCGATGTTTGCCCTGCACCTAACAGCTTTTCAAGTAAGTTTGTGTCACAGACAAATTTCCAATAAACACGGTACACAACCAATAGATGAGCTCTCTCAGCACAAAACAGAAAGCAGCATAGCGGGCACAGAAACAGCAGAAGATGCATAATACATCTAACATTATGGGTAAATATTATGGTGACTCTGTGCCTCGGAATGCACGGTTCTATTGGACCATTACAAAGGGGGAGAAACTGGTGGAACTGTGAAGTGAACAAGAGTGTGTATTTGACGTGTCATCCAGCTTGTACCGCGACAGAGTGAAATTAGAGAAAAGCTGGACAGACCTTGCTGTCCCCTTTCCGTCAAACAGGGTCATGTCCACATTCTGCAGCATCTTCTCTTTTATTTTTTGGCAGTTTTTTTCCAAGCAAAACACTGTGCACACAAGTGCAGCTGTAGCTAAATGCAGGAGCATATGGGAAGTGGTCTCCAGAGAAATCAAGTTGCAGTCTTGCAAATAGTGACCCTGCAAGATCCCCCGTCTAAGTTATGCTGATTGGAAGAAGTGTTAAGATGTTTTGCTTACATAAAAGTAGCAATACTACTGTGTAAAAACACTGTTATAAGTAAAGGTCCTGCATTCAGAATATTACTGAAGTTAAATTATTAGAAAAATGTACTTATGCCATCCAAAGTAAAGTGCTCATTATGCAGTGTTTGTATTTTAATCAGTGAAAATGTCATTGTATAAAGTCACTGTCCATTTTGTATGTAAAATCTTGCAGCGCCTGCGCACGTGTAGACCGTCCACACAGGTGTTTTCACTGGTGATGCCTAATTAGACCTCTTGTCAGGTCAGTGTGCAAACTATGCTTGGCATCTCCCTGGCATAGCTCCACCCAAGCTACACCTGAGCAGAGGCCTCATCAGCTGGAGTAACTGATAACACGAGGCGACAGTGGTGCAGCGGGTAGAGCAGTTGTCTCCAAACCACAAGGTTGAAGGTTCGAATCTCGGTGCCTGCAGTCCACGTGTCGAAGTGTCCTTGGGCAAGGCAGTGGAACCCCGCCCCTGATGGTTAGAGCCACTTAATTTGCAAGAGTAACTAGCGGCAACAGCTCTCAAATGTGTTTGCACTGAAAAGATCTATATAACCCTTTGAAATTGAGTAAAAATATTGGTTGGCATTATCAATAGCATT